GTACAAGGACATGGGGAGGGTCATCCCAAAAAATGACAAGCATCAGGGGAGGGTCATTATTTTCAGTACATTGGTGCATGAAAAACCTCTGACCCACCCACCTCCGTAGTAAATGACCGGTCCCTAACTGGAATAGAATGATGGAATATTCCATCTTCAGAAAGGGGTCCTTCACTTTCGGATAGTGAAGGAAACATGTGAACGCTGAATGTTTTTCATAACTGGACAGTAGCATGAAATGACACAGCAATGATTGCAAACATGTTCACGCTTAAGGCACAGAACATCGTCTCCAGAGGGAACTTGGAATGCAGTTTGAATGCACACAGATTATTGAATGATGACATATTAATATTGTCGTCATTATCATTATTGATTAATAGTTATAACTGAACATTGAGTACTTTCATGCTTTGACTACACAATCGATGGACTATAAATGCACAAAAAAGCATTGACCGAATAATGCGATTAGGTTATGTCTTCAGTATGCATGACCCAGTTCAAACTCAATTGTCTGAAAACCAAGACTTGACATGTTATTGTGTAACCAGTAACTCATTTAGATATATCCTCCATAAATCAATATCTCCCTCAATTTGAGAGTAATCCTAATTACTAAGCATTATCTACGCATTTGTCACCAACACTGACTATCTCTTAATTCCATGGCTTTAAAACCAACAGTTAATTCACCAGTAAATGACTAGTGAAAGAATATGTCATGCATAAATTTGCATATCATTACCAAGACAAAAGGGTTATGCGTAATACAGAGAGCACTACCCATTGCAAAAGAAGAATGACAAAAGATAAAAGGTGGCTGCACATGGAGGTCCTGTCACAAGAACAACAACGAGGAGCGAGACCATGTTGACAGTCCCATTGATTCACCGCTATCTCGTTGCTAAAAGAAAACAATTTAACGTGCGATATTGATTCGGCTCCGTAATGTAAACACAGTGGAAAGAAGGGGATCTGTTGACACTTGGACTCCCAGTAAGGGCAATTGGTCTTGTAATCGGATTCTGCAAAAAGATCTTTCTCAAAAAGTCGACTGATAGGGGTCTGTCTACTTTGAATTATGGTGATCAATTCCATCTTTTCGTTTTGTAAAACTTCCCAATGACCTTTTACCTCCTGGAACTTCCAGGTAAGACAACGGCCTGGCGCCATGGGACAATGGATGGATAATTGTGCAGCTCTTGGTCATTGTGCCTGCACATGGTGCCGTGTTTGATGTTTCGTTTGATGTGCTTCGATTGGTTGTCAAACAAGCCCAATTTTATGAATATGGGAGAGCAAATTCTAGGAATGTTTCTATTTCTTTGAATTGAATGGCAAGTCATCTGTACAAGCATTGTATTCTGGCAATGAAGTTGTCCTTCACGATGTAATGGGTGGTACATGGTTGGTGGCCACTTACTCTCATCACTAAACATTATTCAGCTCGGCAATTCAAATCGTCTGATCCAACAAATGATAAAGGGAGATAACCTAATAGGACTGAATTGCTGACATGCTCAAAGTCAGTTGTCTGTTCAAGTACAAACAAGGGATCACAAATTTTCTAGTCATGTATATCTTGATAAATGTGATGATCTTTGGCCTAAAGTTTGGTCAAAACATTCCTGCAGAAATAACTTAAGATATTCAGATCGAACAGTGATGAATGAATGTGAATAAATAAATAAATACATTTCTGTGATGATGATGATGATGATGATGATGATGATAATAGCAATAAAACTCTTTTCCTATTCATAAGAAATCTCTGTTAAATGCAGAGTCCATTGTGTGATACGGATGATATCATGAGCAAGTTAACTTCTTTGAGTGGCATTTAGAAGTGGAATGGTAACTAAGACAAAATTGTTATGGATGAGCAACTTCTTTATTACAATTGGGCGACGTTTCGGTGTAGATTCTAACACCTTTATCAAGCAAATGATGTACAAACTAGGTATGAGCATGATATATATACATAACAAGTGTATATATATACATATACATGAGCAAGTGTTTATAAATCCATATCAAATAGTGATGATAACAGTGAGCGTATCCTGCCCAACCGATGACACCTTCACAAACACATGCAAACTTCAGAAATCTCAACTAAATACAGAGTCCATGGTACAATCACAACTACATCATGTGTTCATAAATCACTATAAAATAGTGATGACAAAGATAAGCATATCCTTCCCAACCAGTGCCCCACAAATGCAGTAGACCTTAATTACATAAATTCACATAGACATATTTCTATCCACGAGTGAAATTAAAGATGACAGCTAAGCCATTCTTATAATTACCCTAACGTTACGCCACAAGCTTCAAGGAGGGTTCTAGATTAAGATACTATAGCCCAAAACATCAAAGACTCAGGACCTTTCTTAATATCTAATACGGTATGGAGAGTTATTAATATTTGATGATGCTATGAAGTGCTCAAGTTTTTGTAAAATATTCGCTGGAAATGACAAGAATACAAAACAGGCGCCATCTCTTTTCTTCACATTCTGGTCATGCTGAATGCTCTCCATCCTCTATTGTGCAATTTGCCAGCCCCCAATAACAAGGCCCTGCACTATGTATTATCGCCGAAAATTAATAAAATGTACACAAAGTTCAATGGAGGTTACTGTCACTTTAATTAAATCAGTGTTCATTGTAAAATGCCTTTGATATACTCAAGATTAGAAATTCTATACTGCTTTAGACCATGTCTCAATTTCTTTCAGCACCAAAATTGCAAATATTGGCTACATACTGTAGCACTGATTACAGTTTCCGTGGCATTTAGTTTGTAATACTCGGGATGAAACATAACTCCCCTCCTGATTAACGAACGCAAAGGGTCCGCGGAAGTGATGGCACTAGTTATAGAAGATACCTATTACTTATGAAGTCATAACGTGATAAATGATCATGTCAGGCATGATGCCACAAAATTTACATGAGACTATAACCATTTCATCTTGTATCATATGTTAAAGGTCATTGCAGAAATGAATTCTCTTTCCTATTTCTAAAACCAATAAGAAGGTAGAAGCAGAGTGAAATTCGAAATTGATGTAATTTAACAGTAGACTTACTTGTATACATCATAGCGGGGGAATCTCCTTGGAGACTGGTTGAGCGTGTGCTCATGAAAGCAGGAAGTTTGGTTAATAAGTAAGAACTATATTGCCTGCAGGAAGGTTATGTTAGAAACGAGAAGTTTCAAATGAAATTGTGTGCATTATGCTTTCTAATATGGCCGACATAATACACAGCTGTGCGGTGTAACAAATGTAGAACCCGCTGGCGATTCTGGGTTAGAATTAATCCCGGTTCGCCCCGATTATGTTTCTGGGTCTGTCAGCACCATACCCGTGCTCAGGGGTGTCACAAAATCGGGTATAGCTAATCTGTCATGGCGTGATAAATATGAAAGAATCGGGTATAGCTAATCTATCCTGGCGTGATAAATATGAAAGAATCGGGTATAGCTAATCTGTCCTGGCATGATAAATATGAAAGAATCGGGTATAGCTAATCTGTCTGTGCATGATAAATATGAAAGAATCGGGTATAGCTAATCTGTCCTGGCATGATAAATATGAAAGAATCGGGTATAGCTAATCTGTCTGTGCACTATAAATATGAAAGAATCGGGTATAGCTAATCTGTCATGGCATGATAAATATGAAAGTTTCGGGTATAACTAATCTGTCATGGCATGATAAATATGAAAGAATCGGGTATAGCTAATCTGTCTGTGCATGATAAATATGAAAGAATCGGGTATAGCTAATCTGTCATGGCATGATAAATATAAATGAATCGGGTATAGCTAATCTGTCTGTGCATGATAAATATGAAAGAATCGAGTATAGCTAATCTGTCATGGCATGATAAATATGAAAGAATTGGGTATAGCTAATCTGTCATGGCATGATAAATATGAAAGTTTCGGGTATAGCTCATCTGTGCATGATAAATATGAAAGAATCGGGTATAGCTAATCTGTGCATGATAAATATGAAAGTTTCGGGTATAGCTAATCTTTGCATGATAAATATCAAAGAATCGGGTATAGCTAATCTGTGCATGATAAATATGAAAGAATCGGGTATAGCTAATCTTTGCATGATAAATATGAAAGAATCAGGTATAGCTTATCTGTCATGGCATGATAAATATGAAAGAATGGGGTAAAGCTTATCTGTGCATGATAAATATGAAAGAATCGGGTATAGCTAATCTGTGCATGATAAATATGAAAGAATTGGGTATAGCTAATCTGTGCATGATAAATATGAAAGAATCGGGTATAGCTAATCTGTCATGGCATGATAAATATGAAAGAATCGGGTATAGCTAATCTGTGAATGATAAATACGAAAGAATTGAGTATAGCTAATCTGTGCATGATAAATATGAAAGAATCGAGTATAGCTAATCTGTGAATGATAAATACGAAAGAATTGAGTATAGCTAATCTGTGAATGATAAATACGAAAGAATCGAGTATAGCTAATCTGTGCATGATAAATATGAAAGAATCGGCTGATCTTTAACTTCTCTTGAGTGGGATACATCTACCTTAAAATAATCGAGGCCATACATCTTTAGTAGACCACTGACAAGAAAAAAGTCGACATATTGGGTAATGTTTCATTGAACCGCAAGTAAGTTACTAATGATTTGTGTGTCTGCCATATCCGGATGTCGTGTAAGCAATTCATTGACAACCATGAAAACTGAGCAGTGACACACGCAAGGGAAGCGGTGGTCTTAAACATAAGATTGTTAGAGGAGGTTGAGCTAAATCACTTAAGTTTGGATGCTAAATAATTCAAATTATTGCCACACAAACTGATTACTTCACGCAAAACATTTATGGCAAACTTGGATTCTGTTTTCATGTATGCTCCAAGGATTTCTCTCAGTATCTTGTGGAAATTACGGGTTAGACATGGTTTTCGAAGTGTCAATAGAATGCTACTCACCGCTGTTTGTATCCCGGCTAAATTGTCATTTAGATCAAATATTAGTCTTGATATGTAGTTTCCTTCTTGCATATATAGAAATCCATGGTATGTATCCACTGAAAACAGACAGAAAACATTCATCAGTGACAATATTCAAATTAGAGGTGTGAAGTCGGGAAGAACCCAAAATTGCTGGCAGCCATGTATACTGTAGAAGACAGGAGTGGGCGAAGGGAAAGAATTATTGATTTTGAAATTGTTTCGCTTTGAAAGTTTATCTTTGTTCTCTGTTGTGAAGTAGGTGCCATTAAATTTAACTGAGCTTGAATCAGGAGCTCTATTTAATGAGAGTGATTTTTTAAACCAGGATTTGACAGTGATACAATGGTCCTTGTGTGAAGATGTATTGGATACTAAACCGGTATTCAGAATACATTTGGGGAAAATACCTTATGAGTTTGGAAAGCCAAATATCCTCGGACAAGACACCTCTGATAATCTTCCTTATTGAATAAGAAGATAATTTGATGCTTGATTTGTATAAAGGTATTTTTGTCCTATTTTCTCATATTTATCGTTAGTTTGTTCGTTTGATCTTATTTGGGAGTTGTCAAATTGGATAGGCCCAGACAAAAATCCCTAATTGTCTGAGACGCGAGTGATCGGCCGTCATTACGCGTATTGGATCACTGTGCGATGGCTCTTCCAAGACTCAACAACAGCAAAGTGTCAATTAGTTCCCACAGGGGCTTTTTGGTATAGGCTGTGTCCATGCCACTAAACTGGCACTCTTTGATATATCCCGAATCTGCGCCACTGAAAGGGCACTTTGGGTATGCACCTAGTCCACAGTACTGAATGGGCGATTAGTTGTATTGTTCGTGTGGTCAGATGTGCAAAAAGTCAATGACAATTTGTGGCGGGTCACTTTGCCGTTGACACCTCGGTGTTCGTTCAGTGTGTATGTATAGTGGGCCCATTATGGTAAACTGGTTTGGATCAACACAACTCAATTTTAACGTTGGATCCTCGATATTCGATTGGATCATTTCAGAAAACCCTGGAACTTTCAGCTGGGAAAATAATCTGAAATAACAATGTTAACTAAAGTTTTTTCCTCGCCTTTGAGTTTCGCAAACTCTCCGTGGCAGCAGGGTGGTACGCAAATATTGAATTTGACCAAGTGGTTCTGTCGATTCAGGCAAATAAAGTTTAGTAAATTTTTCTACAAAATTTGAGTTCTAATTAAAGGGTCCTGGTTGATCGTGGAGAGCCCTCAAACCCACTTAATCACATACAGCACAAAAAATTTGAATAGGCACAGCACAGCACACTTAACTCAATCAATTGGTGGTACACCTCTTGCTACTAGCCTAATACGAGTTTTATGTGCAAGCGCCCTACGGAATTGAACGTTTTGTGCTTCAGCCGAACAGCAGTTCTTCACACACAAACATTGTAGGTCAGATTGTTATGATCATGTGCAAAACACTGGGAGGGCAATAAAATGATTCTGTTTCATTGGCATCTTTAGTAATAAAAATAATAACAGCATTTGGATCACGCATCTAAGTTTAAGTCACAATTATTGTTATCTCACTTTCATTGAATGAATGTATTGGTTCAAATTTGAAATTTAGTGACTAGTTAAGTATACTATACTAGTTAGGTATAAGAAACATGAAACATATGTATATATATTCCCTGTTAAAACCTAAAAGGGCTCTTAAAAGAAGAATATAATAGTACCAGTACAATTTAATCGGTAAATCATCATGTCTAGTGTTTTTTATCTCAAATTTCAAATTTGTATTGACCAAGTTTAATTGGTATGATCTGGTCATTTCCCTGAATTCTCTGAAAGGATACGAAGTATTTTTTGTCTGCAGAAGACAAACACGTTTTTATTGTAAATGTAGGGATTGTGTATGCGCCGGTGACGTGCTTCATTCCGATTCGCTTTACAGACGGGGTATATAAATTAGCATCGATTTTAAAAGCTTGTTCAGGGGGGTCACCTTATACATGGGGTTGCTTTATAAACGGCGATATACAGTGATATACGGTATTTAAGTAAGTGGAACAACATTAATGTACATGTACATTTGCTTGTTTCAAAAGCAATTAACCTGAACTGATCTTCCATGGATTTTAGTTTTAGCTTTGCCATCTTTGTCATGTCAAGTTCTATTAAATGCTGATATTCACACTGGGTGTCTATGACACTGTGTCAGAATAGAGTGCTTTTTTGAAATCTGACATTTTTGCCATTAGTAGTGGGGGGTTTGTTAGCATTGTCACATGTGTATGGAGGTGATGTATAGTCGATGAAAGTAGGCCATTGAGTGCAGGAATGAATAGACACCATATGAATCGGATTCAAGTCGACTGTCATGTGACCTCTGACTTGTGTCAGATGCTGTCATCAGTCAGCGCACCTTCATACAACAGCGATGTCAAACTGTGCAGTGCTCGGTTAACGTGTTATAATTTTCACTGACACATCTTCATTGATTCCCTTGGTCACGAGTCCGAACCTTTGATCACGGCGGCACGACAGGGAAATTACGACAATATCGCGAAGTTTGGCGTAGCCATTTCTCCACTGCCACCAACTTGGGAACATATTGTCTTTGTACAAATTTCATTATGATTGAATTAAATGACATGAGTCATTTGTTTTCTGAATTAGTGCAAAAAAAAATCTCTATCGGTTTGGGATGCAAGGCCTTGATCTGTCTGCTGGTCGTCAAATGGCCTGCAGCGAACTTGTCACAGTCAGTCCCTGTCACGCCGGCCCTCCTCCAGCTACAAAGACTCATCCCTGTCCAGGCAGCAAATCCACAGGACATGGTGCAGTTTTCCAGCTTTGTGATGGTGGCATTTGCAAATCATTTGGATTAAGGACAGTGGTCCATTGCTTAGAGTGGACAAAAACCATTAGGTGGTGTGAACTTGCAAATTGACAGATTGTTTGGAATATTTGTTGTAATCTCACTGATCACAGGGACCGGATTATCTCAGCATTTCATCCTAATTTCCTCACAAAGTCATAAAGGATTCCTACACTGTGGTATCATGCGACGAGCAGTTTTTTTCTTTTCAGTATTACTCACAATTTGTGCCAATTACTCAAATTTAGTTCATTACCATACTCTAAGCCAGGGTCTCAACAATCGAGATTTGTAAGTTTGACAAAAAAAGAACCCCAAAGGCTAAAGGTGACAGTTCTTTTTCTGGATTTCTTTTATCTCCGCCTGTTGGGTGCAAATGAAGAAGCTTTGTACCTGGCAACAATGACACTTAAACTAACAGATTGTTAAAGAGAGATGGGACAAGAATGCCTTCAGAAACAGCGGAAGCAGTCTGAGCCTTTTATTTGGAATACTAATTCTGCATAAATCTTTGCATTTTTCAAATAAAATAACTTTGAGATTCTTGAATACTGAAATTGCCACGTCCATGCACAATACATGTAGTGAGGATGAGATGTTTGTGTAGAGCCAGTTCAGATAATATTGGAAAAATCCTCAAAGTAAAAATATCAACAAGATGGATGCCAGTGATGGGATGTGCATGTTGGCTCTCTCTCTCTCTCCTCCCCCCCCCCCTTTTTTAATTTTTTTTTTAACATGGAATACGGTACGTATGTCAAGCTGAGAGAGAAGTTGTCGATAGATTTTGTTGGAGCCACTCTGTAAGTGACGCTCCTGGAGCTTCGTTAGAAGCTGATTCATCAATCGCGAAGGATGTACACAACTAATGATGGTCGAAAAGTCTCGTTTCCTTATCTACCAACATTGATTTTTGCACTGGGTCTCTGAGACATGTCAAATTATTTATGACTCTCACCTGTCCTAGGAGTCATTAGTGTTGAAACAATGTCTCAGGCTGTAAATTACCTACAAATGACAAATATGTCTGGACACTGGAAAAATAATGTTAAAGGCTACAACATCATTATAAATTTCATTTTATCATATTTCTTATGCAACCTAATGACTGTTGTTAATCTTGCAAACAGATGTTTTCCGTCAAAGTACGGGCAAGCAGTCAACTTTCTCACTTTTGAAAGAAATTGAATCCCTTTTTCTCATTCAGGCTAATTTTTTGTGGTCATAAATGTGACATTATTTTTCTCCATAGTGATTTGTTGTGGCTTTTGACCAACTGATTTTTCCCCCAATAATATCGCTCATATGAAAAATGCAAAGTATGATTAATTGTATTGGATATTATGAAATTGTGATCAAGATGTTTGGATAATTCAGCTGTTTCTCCTCATTTTAGCTCAGTACAAAGGGATGTCCTCACTCCATGAATCAAGTATTTCCCGTCAATGGGTCATGCACACCATCCAAATTGACTTTCATTTTGAAGATAATTACAAATTTCTGAAACGGCTCTAGTATTAGTTGAGCGTCCACCCTGTATTGTGCTGACTGACCCAAACAGCTGTAGCGAGACCCACTTTGTCACTGTTATGGTTGTCTGAAATCAGGGGACACGACCCTCGTCACCCACCAAGATTGAATTAAATATGGCCATATCGCCAGTCCAGAATATCTATCCCCCTTCCCGCATGACTGAATCAAGGAAGGCCTAAAGAAGAATCTAATCATATCATGCATAATTAATGAGAAGAAAATAATTATAACCAAACAGTGAGATTTGTAGCTATGGAACAATGGTACCGTGGGACTAGTGGTGACCCCTGGTGAGGAAGACCGGAACCTGCCATGCTCATGTCGTCTTGTATTTGCAGAAATCAGTGACAGATTCGGAGAGCTTATTACTGTCACTGAGACATATTTTGTCATAATCATATAGAAGATGAATGAGCCTCACAAAGACTGTTTCAACAGCACTGGAGTCGCCCATCTGTCCAGAATATTGAAAATGCTTGGAGGAAAAAAATGATCTGGTGTTTGGCATTAGTGAGTCATTTCAGGATGTTTTCAGGATGCTGATATAATAAATTGTTATACATTTATAGAGACAATTAAGATGAGTAGTTGCAGTTAATACACTTAACCAAAAAACGTCAGCGTTCATGAAGAGTTTTGGGGATAATGTTTTTAAAGTGAAGTCTGGGTTTGTTTAAATGTGAACATTA